TTCTCTCTGGTAAGACCACAGCCAGGCTTTGCTGCTAGAAAATCCGCAGGAGGTCAGGATTTAGAGAGTGGAGGGGACCACGTTTACCACCATGCAACCACTGCTCGCCCCAGGCCCGCTGGCACCCGGGGTCTGCCAGTCACCAGGCAGGGAACTGACTCCCCCCTGTATCCGCCTTTGAGAGTGAGCTGTATTTTTCCGACACATGAGGATAGCTCCTGTCACCTTTAAAAAGGAATGCTGGACAGCCCAAGACAGAGGACTCTTGGCAGGAGAGCCCCAGGCCTGTGGGCAGTGGCAGCCATGAAAGACCCTGCTTTTCCACCGCTCCTGAGGTGAGACAAGAGGGGTTTTCCCTCCGCAACCTCCCCTCAGCGTGGCGAGGGCCCTGGGCCCATGTCGGACATGGCACCGCCACCCGATTTCAGAGGGAATGAGGTACAGGGAAGCCCAGCCTCCACCACTGCTCGTTGTCCTGCTCCAGTTAACATCCCATCCTTTTGGGACAGGGCCACCCTGTTGAATGGGGAGACTATTTAATGGCGCCTTGGCCGACATCATGCTCCAGCTCACCCAGTGACAGGCAGACCTCCTCTCGGGGTCCCCCTCACCCACTGGCTTAAAGCTCAGTTCCTCTGTGCAAAATGTTCCTCTTCATGTTCCCTCAGCACCACAACATTAAGGTAACTTTTCTCTGGCGATGCACAAATGCCTGACCATGCCTCTGGTACCACAGCAGCAAGAAAGGTGGGCATTCAGATGCAAATGAAGACAAACACAGTGGCTTGTCAAGAGAAAAAGAAAAAAACAAACAAAAAAAGAAGAAAAAGAAACAATTTTGTAAATAAGTAACAGTCAGGGAAAAAAGATTCCATGTCATTGGGGAGAAACAGGGTGGATTGTGCTGGAAGCCTGGAAAAGAAATGAAAATTGTAGTCAGCATAAATACTCGCCCAAGGAATAAAAGAAAAGACCTGCTCACTCATGTGCAGAAGTTACTCCAATCACTCTTCTATGCCTGCAGAAAAGAAATGAAGAAGAGGGAATAGAAGTGCTCAGGGTTTGTTTGCTTGCTGGGTTGTCTGCTTTTTTTAATTTTGGGGGACATATGTCTAACGCCTAAGATTATCTTGTATTTCATTTTTTCCTCTGATTACAAATACGTTGCCTATGGATATATCAGAAATACACAGTAATGAAACTATGACTTATTTACCTGCTAGGGGAACACTAATGAGTGTTCTAGTAATGAAAAACAGCTTCACTGGCTTGTAAAATGCAAAACGGCAAGGAACTCACTGGAGACCCCACAAGCATATGCCAATAAACTTCCATTATTCACAAGTACACAGGCCTCCCAAGACAGCAGTTCCCCAGCCTCCTTTCATTTCCTGACTGCTCCTGACTGCCTTGCATTTTGAGCAAAGACTAATTTTCTATCTTCCTCAAGCCTCTAAAGTTTTTGCAGAAGCCAAATGATCCTATGAAAAACTGTCCACTCAGATGCAAACTGAATTTTTATCAGCTAATTCTTCATATTATGTGATCTACAAGTATCACAAAGTGTGATAGCAATACGGGACAATTGTATCCATGACCATAAACATCTGAACGCCAGTAACATTCTACCAGAGTGCTCTAGCAATGCACTCAGCCGCAGCACTGATATAGCGTGCTCTCATTCATAATGCTGTTGTTCTCTATTCTCCTGACAATATGAACATCCAGAACAAACACTGACCAGTCTCATTTCAACACTTCCAGTGTACATGGCCAAGCTCTGCAGTGTGTTAAGAGTAAAACAGGAGTGCTAATCCCCACCAAAGGTGATCAGTCAGCCAAAATTCAGAACAAAGTGTGAGGACTTTAACAAATAAAATCCAACATTAGAATATGAGTCCAGGCATCTACTGTCATAAAATCATTTCAATGACTGTATTTCATGTCCCCCTTCATTATAAATCCATTTGGCATCCATTCTAATAGCCAGGCTACCCTCAGAAAAAAAAATTATTTGATATTCCTGTGGATGTCATAAGTGCCCTGTACTTTTACGGCACTTCTATTGTAATTCAACATTAATTATCTTTCCAATTAATGTACTACATAATGCTGCAGTATGAAATGCTTGCATTTTGTAAATGAGAAAATTGAGCTCAGTTCTGTCTGCTTTGATCCCATTTTACTTTTATTATAATTCAGTACCAGAATTTTCTTCCTTTTTGGTTGGGTTATTGACACCCTGAACACACACAAGGGAGCCATCTCTTGCATACAAAAGATACATTTATGCTTCTCTTTTCGAGAAGACCTCCAATTTTTCTTTTTCAATACGATTTTCATATACTTTCCTGCCTTATGATTATTACTGAACCACCCATAAGGGAAATAGATGTGACAGAAGTACTAATAGAGCAGCATTTACCAGTTACCATGAACGCAGACATCATAAGTACCAACATCTACTGAAAAATGGTAAGTGTGAAGCAGATCACAAACACAGAAAAAATAAAAACAAAACTATGGTCAGGAGTTAAAAAACCTCTTCTTTAGAAGCTGAATGATCCAACATATTCCTTAAATGTTGCGTGTAAAAAGTACCATTTAACATTTTACTGCCTATTACTGTAATAAAAAGTATAAAAGCAAAAATATATACAAAGTATATAAAACATAGAAATGGAAAATACATATCCAAAATTGCTCCTTGTATGTATGGATGAAAGAATTTATGACTGGTGATTTTCCACAATGAGGAGTTTAATTTTCTGTTGGGTTTGAATTTTCTGTTTAGTTTATCTGCTGTCGACAGCTGCAGTCATCATGAGCTACTGGATTTGACCTTCAATGCCACTATCTCAAAGCACTTCACAGTGCTTTTTCATCCTGAATGGCTGAAGTGCTTAAGGAAGCTACAAATCCCCCCTTCCTCTGGTGTCTTTAAGTCTAGCTGCCTTCCCCCACCACATCATTTTTAATATAACCAAACCTACAACACACAGAAAGCTGAAAAAAAAAAAATAATCAGTCACCCTTCACACTCACTAGTCTTACACACTTAATGCTCATCATTAGCTGGCAATTACTGAGTATGTGAGTATGCTCTGAGAACAATGCAGGTCAAACTGAAGGAATTTAAGGATGTCACCTATAAAATGTTCCCTCAGCTAAACCACCTCAGTCAGCTTAAATAACCTTGCTGATAAAAAGGTGTAAAAAATTAAGCATAGCCTATTTAGCATTTTGAGATAGGATTTCCTCTTGAACTGCCCTCGAATACTTCATTGTAATCTTAAACTGAGAAATACGGTGGTTTAAGTGGACAAACTGGCTATTACTGATCTATCAGCAACTCAGGCAACCTACTTTCACAGGAAGTAGTGCTCCTGTTTCAACATCATCCTCAAACAAAGCCTTTTGAACATTTATTAATAAATTATCAATTGCTTAGCAATGATCTTGACCTACAGCTGCACCAAGGTACAGCTGAGACAAATCGCCATGGAATGCTGCTGCTTTTTCCAGGGCATATGTAGAGTTTACAGGGAACCTCAGATTTGACTGAGATAGCTTTAGCGACCTGAAACTTTCATTCATTTGGTATTAACCCACTTTATTCTGATATGGTTCGGGTTTGTGTGTTCTGTTTTCCTCTTCAGTCCTCACTGGTACCCCACTTCTGGTTTACTTATTTTAAATGGCCGTTATTACAGCTGTTAATCTTGAAAGCAAATTCACATCTGCCTTGATCCATGTCTACAAGACATTCCTAACTATGTACTGAAGTTAACCTGTGGTAAATCTGTGGTTTACCAGTCAAATCAGAGTAGGATAATGAGAAATAAATGAGTAACAAACCCAAATCTTAAAAACTCCTTCCCCAAACCCCTTCCTTCTTTCCAGACTGAACTTTACACCCCATTTTCTCTATCTCTCCCCCCCAGCAGTGCAGGGGGACAGTGAGTGGGGGTTGTGGTCAATTCATCACACATTGTCTCTGCCGCTCCTTCCTCCTCAGGGGAGGACTCCTCACACTTTTCCCCTGCTCCAGTGTAGAGTCCCTCCCACAGGAGAGAGTCCTCCACCAACTTCTCCAGCATGGGTCCCTTCCATGGGGTGCAGCCTTTCAGGAACAGGCTGCTCCAGTGTGTGTCCCCCACGGGGTCACAAGTCCTACAGCAAACCTGCTCCAGTGTGGGCTCCTCTTGCTTCACAGGTCAGGAGTCACAATAATCATGTGGACAGAACCTGGTGTTCCCAACGTATGTTTCCAATTTCCCATGGGTAACCCTGTGCTGAGGTGAAGCAACAAAGCAAGCCACCATCAGGAGAGGGACTCCAACCTCCATGAGCAAGTTCTGTCCAAGGCAATTCCTTCAGTTGCTCAGGATGACATCTCACATCACCAAAGGAAAAAAAATATTATTGCCAAAAGGGGAAGAAAATTTCCACCACTGAATTCCTTTACTTTTTTTCTCACATTTATCAGCACACAGAAAGTAGCAAAAGACACAACTACAACATGACCTTTTGAAATCACATTTTATACTATGAATTTAAGAAATTAAAATTATAAATGAATACTTTGAATGTAGAACTTAAGAATCAAAATGACACTTTATGATTGCTTTAAAAAAAATCTCTTGGAAAATCACTTCCAACGTACCAAATATATTACCAGTGATTTCAGTAGGTTTAACTACTGCATATATATTCCACGCAGGATTCTACCAGGTAACATAAAATCAATTACAGCTAAAAATCAGTGCTAAAACCCAGGTGAGGCAAAAGAACTACAGGTCATTTAAGAGAAGCCAGTGAAGTCAATGATACTAACTGCACGAGCAAAGACCGCTTGCGTAAATTAAGCCAGCAGAAACAGGTTTGCAAACTGCATGGATTTTCAATTTTTTTTAAACAGACATTGCCCTGGTTTCTGCTTATTTCATAAAAGCGAATGAAAAGCAGCCTGAACGTGAGTTTTTTTCCATAAAGGAGGTTCAGACCTTGCAGTACACATCATATTTTAACTTTGCTCCCAGCTTAGTTCCTTCTAAGCACGCTTTGAATTTGGCATCCATTTCCTGGTTCTGAGCTTCAGTGAAAAGGTTTTTCCAGTCTCCAACAACACCTGTTATATAAAGAAAAGCCAAATATTACCCTTGACTGTATGTACCAAGGAGTATGATTTAAAATAAAAAACTACCTTGTCTCTCTTATTATCATATTACAGGGTCATCTTTTTTTGGTTTTCTTTTTTTTTGCTGCAAGAAAAAAAATCTGACCCAAGAAAACACGCTTATGTTTTGCCTTGTGCTTGGTGTCCTCAACAGAATGTGAACATAAAGTGAACATAGGAAGCTACTGGCCTGCCTACATGTGCCTTGTACAGCTGCAGAAGACTGTAAGATGACCAGCAGCTGTGAAACCAATCCAGAAAGTTCAAAGGTATGGCTTTGAACTGCAAGAGCTTGGTGCACTGCTTTAAGGTACAGTTTACACTGAATCTAGATTTTGGAGAGCCCACAGTCTGAGGTTGTCTGAGTCTACAGCTCTAGCTTGATCCATGGGTAAAAGACCCATGGCTCAGCCTGTGAGGTGTCTGGATTCCACATGCTGACTGAGGCTCCTAGGCAATAACATGGGCTATTTAGAACACCCAAGAAGAAAAATCAGTGGAAGCACGCTGTAGACCAATGCCAGGCTACCCCCAGCAATCACAGAAGCCAAAATAAAACTCGTCTTTGTTTTAATGGATGCTTACTGCATACCACAACTGGAGGTGTCCTAAATGTATGGCACTTCTGCTTATCACATCATACAAGGCTCTAATGAATGGCACTGACCCTTGTGAGAAAATCAAGTGACTGTGTCCCGAAGCACAACCAAGTGTTTCTTATGCAACTCCAACCTTGAAAACTGCATGTAAAGATTAACCATCTACTGACCCAAACTCCTGTCTGCCCAAGATGCAGTGCTACCTTTCACCACCCTGGCAAAATAGAGACAAATTTACCTTTGCGGAAAAGAAATGAGCCAACAGCACCATGAGTCTCCTGAGCCTTATCCTTCACTGCCTGGAAAGTGGCCCTGTCTGCAATGGACTGGATTTGCTCTGCCGTTGGGGAGAATCCAAAGAACTCAGCTATCTGCTTTACACTGGCAGTCAGGTTCTGAAAGCAACACAGTGAAAGGGAGACATGCAATATGCTTCCTCTAATAAAGGAGTTACCCACTTGGGATGTGCACTGCCATCATCTATTAACAATACATTTTCCGTCACATTATGTTTTATGCATTACGCTGGAGCCCAGCTTTTGTATAGCCAGATTCAACCTGTCTCTAAATTCAACTTGATTTTGCTCTTTCAGAAACACAGGTTTCTGAAATTTTCCTGTTAATTTCAGCAGATTTCAAGGAATGGGCTGAGATGTATTTTGCCTGTCAGTTCATAGCAACTGCTTTACCTCTTTCAGGTCTTCATATATTACAATCATAGTATTCTCATCCTCAATGTGTTTGTTCCAGGTGACTGCATGATCAAAATAGGAACCCCAGCTGACTGTAAAGAGGAAAAAAAAGCATCAGTGTGACCTTTTTTTCTTACTGGGTACTTATTTATCATCCATGCAAAGGAAGGGAACAGTCTGCCCTTTCTGTGGTACCATACAACAGAATGACAGAGGCTTCCTCTGGACTTTTATAGGTAAACCGTTTCCACACAGAAATGCAAATTTAACTATGTGCTTCCCCTCTGTTACTATATTGTCATTTAAACATCTCCTAAAAGCCAAAGCCAGACATCAATCTAAATCTAAAATTTGCGTTACTAATGAGGTGTTTGGCCTCATGTTCAGAAACAGTAAAGTCATCAAACTGTCATTTTATTAGCATTTCAGATCTGTAGCATTTCCTTCATCATTAAGGGGCAGAATGTTGACCCAATGCTATTGTCTATGCTGAATGCTATATTTTGGAAGAGCAAAATACCCAGATTCAAAGAATCTTTTGGCCATTCTCCCCATTCTGGCATTCAGCTGCCTCCTTTACGATGACATATGGCCATCAGTAAACTAATTATGACACAGCTGTTTTCCCAACGGCCCCATTTAGTTGTTTTTATTCTTTTTTTCTGATGCTTCCTCAGCTACATTCAGCAAGTGTAACAATACCTTTCCCATTCATGAACTCTGAGAAGAACTCATCCCAAGAGCTGTAACTGGGGACGCCTGGCACATTGTTGTGGAAGTGGAAAAATGAAACAGCTGTATCTTTAGGGTTTCGAAACAACACTAGTATCTGGAGTGGGCGAAAGAAGTCAACAAGTTTAGATCACTTACTTCCCCTGGCAACCAAAAGAGAGTATAACCAAACACTCTGCAATCAGTAACATACAGGAGGCTACAAAACATTTTATTAGTTAAGGCATGGAGAACAAACTTACAACATGAACACAATAAAGACCTTGTTACCACTTCCAAGATTTGTGTATTGCATGAAGCAATTGTAGAAAGAAGCAACAGAAAAAACTGTAATATTGTGATTGAATACTATCCCATAAGACTTGGGGTAAGTTGTAAGAAACCATTTGCCAGCCCCCTACTAGGAAAATCTCTGTCCAACTCTCCTTGAGGAAACTGCAGCTGTTACAAACATCTCCCATTTTCCAAAGCACAGCTATAATGTTACTGAAATCCTAAGAGACTGTAATCCTCAGAGAAGCATAAACACTTCTAAAAACACCTTATACATTATTTTTTTTTTGTTATACACATTTCATTTTTTCCTGTCTCATACAGAACAGTGAAATACCAGTGAAACATGGAACAAATCCTCATCCCTTAACCAGTTATTTCCTTCATCTGTGATACATCTCATAAGTGCTATGCATCCTCCACTGATCAGTGACCAAGTACCAGAAATACTAAAGTTTTAACAGTGTGACTCTTTGCAAGGAGACAGAAAATGTTGCAGAGATACTGCTGCCACATTCATTCCCACCACGGTCATGCATAGAAAAGAGTAACATAAAAAAGGAAAGCATGACACCAGCCATTCCTGAGCCCTGCAACAGCCTCTAGATCTGTTCCTGTTTATGTCAACTACAGCACCCCTAAGGCTACTATAAATCATAGGGGGTGCTAAGCCCTAAGAGACTCCCATTGTCTCCAAGCTGCTTTCCCCCAGTGTGACCTGCGTGGGTGCAAGAAAAGGATCTGGTCCCAAAATCACTTTTGCGTCCTAGCACTGTCAGAGAGATGAGGCTTGTTCTTGGAAAAAGGAAAAAAGTCCACCTTGGCTTTGTTCTTGAAAATAGACTTGGGGAGGCAATCGTAATTCAGATGTGTTGCCAAAATCCTTGGAGATGGAATCTGCTTCATCCTCTTTAGAAATAAACAGAACCATAAGTGAGAACAGGTTTATTACATGGGTGCAGCAATGACTTGTGAGAGTCACTTGTGTGAAACAGCCCCTAATCAAAAGGCATTAGTCATCCCAGATTACCATTCTTCCCCTCTCAGGAGAAATATCTTTACTTGCTGCATGACTTCATTTTAATAACTTGTGTGCGGGGATGCAGGAGAGAGAAAACAACAGACTTTAAGTACTTGAATAGCTTCTTTTCACTAACCTGGTATTTACCTGGATCTCCACATTCAATAAATGGTAGTTCTGTGCTTACAGGTTTACTCTGGATAGTAGTAAATATCAAATCACTTAAAATCTGGATAAGCCAGTTCACACCTGCACCAAGAAACCCAGAGAACAAAATAAAAAATAGCAGAGGTTTATATAAGATCCCAGGGCCTTCTCATTACATGGCTTAATTCAGCATAAAAGACAGTCATCGAATAACAAATAGTATTAAAGCTCTCAAATGATTATAAACAAAATAAAGCCTTCCATTAATGAGATCCTCAACAGCTTCTTAACTGTGACCAAGGGCTCACTTATAACTGGTATGTGATACGGGGGCAGAACTGGATCAACAATGCACTTAACATTTACTATATTCATAAACCACTGCCAGACAGTAACAGGAGCTTTCCTGTCTTTTGCAGAACCACCTGGGAAGGTTCTGGACAGAAGAGAGAAGGAGCAAGGAGATTTGCTCATTCTGCCAAGGAAAGCACCTGCCTCTCTATACTGCCCCAGGCCAAGGACAGAATAGAGTCACCTATTCAACATCACTGCCAGCACTTGTCCTCTGTGCCTGTCGCTGCCTCCGTAATGTGCATGCCAGAACAAGTGCTATAAGAGCTGTTACCCACTGGACACTTGCATTCCTCCCCACCCCTGGCCCTTTGGAAGGGATCTTGCAGCAAAGCCTCCCCCTTACTGGATCCCATTCCAGCGTGAGCCAGCTCCTGGAGCTGCACAATTGTGCCTGATTCCCCAAGGTTTCCAAGAATCACATTTCTTCCTCTGATGCTGTGCCGATCGCCAGCAGGACAGAGCAAGGGAACAGTGTGTTCACCTTGGCCCACAGCACCCTCCCTGCATCCTTGTGGGGAGGCACTTTGGAAGGCTTCCCACCAGGCCCACGGAGATGAAGCTGCAGATCCGCTGCCTCCTGCACGCTGGGAGTCCCCTATGAACACAGCTGCCAGAGGCACTAGCAGGGAACACGCAATGCAAACAGCTTTAACCTCATGCTTTCAGTGGAAAATTATTCCCAGAACAGAATAACTTCCACCCTATGCTACATAAAGTGCCTCAGGATGCTTGGATGGAAGCAGCTGATATGTCAGTATAGTACAGTAATGTTTACACAATGTGTACACATCGTACAATGTCTTATAATATTACATTTATATACCACCCAATCATATTTATTTATATGACATCGTATGATTCAATGATTTATATCACTCTCCCATTTATGTACAGATCAGAGCCAAAAGCATTAAGAGTTTCCAAATTCATGCCTTCATCTGCCTAATATTAACTGCATGTGCACAAATACAAATTGTATTTTAACAGAAAGCTTAAATTGATACAGCTAAAATCCCTAGCTTCTAAATCACTTACTGGCTTAAACCGCAACGCTGACCTACCATAAACTGCCCAGTACTAACAGTGTGAGATCTTTATCTGCTGATCCTTCTCCCTAAGCAGGAGAGGTTTACTGAGTTACTGAACTTCAGAGGCAACCAGCATCACAACTCTGTGTCTGAAATCTTCAAACTCGATGAGAAATCAAAGCTAAGTTGTGACAATGACCTCTGAGGTCTTTATAGCGTCCAGCAGAACTCTGGACCCAAATCCAAAGGAAATACGGGCCCTTTAAAATAAAGATGCACATTTCACATTTTGTGCCAGCTCTCTTCTTTTGTATTTGCCCTCTCTTTCTCTTGGTTCAGCGTTCTGTCTCACAGCTGCTATAAATTCCCCCTAATCACTACAGGCATACTGTCTACACCCTTAAACACACAAAAGTTTCTTTCCAGATCAGAACTCACCAGCCAACATGAATTCTATGTGCTGAATGAGACCTTGACCTAGGACTCCCTAGTTAGAGCCCAATTTGACTGCATCCACTACCATGCTCATGCGAGGAAATCCTTCCCTGGACCCACATTTTCTCCAACAACTCTAAGCTTCTGCTGCTTGGGTCTCAAATTAGAAACATATGCTTGAGGAGCATTTCCTAGATTAGCAAAACCCACCCCTTCCTTCTAAGCAACCATGTCACACTTGACATATATTAAAACTGGTCAAATCAACTAGTTGGTTGTTTGGGTTTTTTCACTGCTCCTGTTGCACCTTTCCTCCTTTCTGCAAACCTCTGACTCTATACCATTTTGCAGTCACAAAACAAAAGCCAATGCTGATATTGAATAATGCCGAGGAACAGCTTATAATTTTGCAAGCAAAGGTGCCAGGTCCTGACACTTTCTACTCATTAAAAAGTCTAATGCATAACTTTATTGCTTTTATACACTACACTACATTACATTACTAACAAGCTTTCCAGAATACACTTCATCATACTGGCAAAATTGTCTTGTATATAAAACAAATATGCTTTAGTCTCACTTCTTCAGCCAAAAAAAGAGTTCTGAAACTTCCTTTCAGGAACATAAACCATATTACCTGCTTAAGTAAGATAAAGTAGGACAAAAAACCTGCTGCCTCTGGTTGCAGTAGCAACGCCCAATGCCCTCACACAATGTAAACCCACATTCAGTTGTTTTTCCTTCTTACTGTGTCAGCTCATTAGTTACAGTATTGTATACTACAGCAAGCAATTTATAATGTAGTCACCACATTTGGGGTAGGACACCAGCACCATATCATCTCTTCTGGCTTCCAGGTCCTCCAGGGCTTGGAATGTTTCCACACTGCACACTGTGACAGGATATGGAGTCCCCCGGTAGGAGAACAGCAGATCCTTCAAGGTAAGGCCTTCACACTTTGCCAACGCTTTACTTATCTTGTCAACAAAGGTTTTTTTATCCTCAGCCATGTTTACCACCCTTGGGGTGTGAAACTGTTAAGCCTAAATGCAGTACGTGCCTTTAAGTAGACATTATTAAGGGGTGGAGTGGAAACACTTGGCATTACCTCTGCCCTCCCCTGAACTTGATATGTTTCTTTCTCTCCTCCCGTCCCACCTTTCTGGAAATGGAAGCTCAGTTGATCCTGTCCACTGACAATCTACAGAGTAGGAATTACTTTAGTAAGAAATCCCACTGACAGCAAGTAATTCTTGCAAGCTCAGCCACCAGGGAAACAGAATTGGATAATTAATCACCCTGGAGGAATGAGCAGCAAAATATTAGATCTAATCTTCCATAAGACTAATGGGAATAAATAGCATCTCACTAAGAATAGAAAGTCCCTATTAAGAAAGATCCCAAGAGGTTTCATTTTGGCAATAAAGTCAGACCCACTCTATGAGTTAAGAGAAATAGGCAGTGAATGATATAAAACAATGAAATTAAAACTACAGAACAGGAAGAACACTACTGGATGGGAAAGGATGCTGCCATTCTAGTTTCTAAATACTCCTATATGGAAGCTAGTCTGCACTAATATCCTTTTTCATGTTAAAAAGACAATTAAATACTGAGATAGAATTCTAGAATCATAGAATGGTTTGGGTTGGAAAGGACCTTAAGATCATCTAGTTCCAATCCCCTGCCATGAGCAGGGACACCTCACACTAGACCATGTCACCCAAGGCTCTGTCCAACCTGGCCTTGAACACCGCCAGGGTTGGAGCATTCACAACTTCCTTGGGCAACCTATTCCAGTGCCTCACCACCCTCACTGTAAAGAACTTCTTCCTCATCTCTAACCCATTACCCCTCATCCTATCGCTACAGTCCCTGATAATCTTGCATGGCACAGGTTTTGTCAACATCTCCATGACAGAACTAGGACCTCTTTTCAACAGCCTGGAGCCAGCTTGTGTTTTCCCCTAGCAGGAAACAGCCTCTGA